TAACCATCAAACAAAGCTAGAAATGGTTCTATGGCTCAAGTGATAGAGTGAAAAAGCTAAGGGAGACCTGCCCCGCCTCTCTCCAAGATTGGGACACACTAGCGTGCTTTAGAGCAAACTTACAGTCCTCAATCGAATTCTAGTAATAGGCATTACTTTTAGTCTCATTTTAAAGATAAGGAAACTAATGCACAAGAAGGCTAAATGACTCATCCACAGCTAGTGAAATGGTAGAGCTAAGATTTAAACCCAGGTGCTGGTTTTAGTACCTGCTCTCATTCAGAGTCCAGTCAGCCTCCCTTGCAGATACTCCTTTTCAGTGTTACTCACCTATTCACCTGGGTAGTAGAAGGAGTAGGCAAGAGTTAAAACCTCTATTGTTTGGTTTTGTTTCTAATTTCAAGATTCTGTTCCTTCCCAACCCCTAACCAGTGTCTAGTTAGGCAGAGAAACCTTGGTTAAATTTGGATCTCTGTTAGATGTGCTAAGAGTTTTTGTGTTACTTGTGGAAGTGAGTCATAGGCATAGTTAAAGTGACTTGTCGTGGTCACTATCTCAGAGAAATTATTCACAATTCACTTCCTTGACTATGCAATTCCTAGTTAATGCTGGATCCCTGCCTCCAACAGATTTTTCTATTTATTTATTTACTTATTTATTTATTGGGTCTGGTCATGGGGCATGAACTCTGGGCCTGGGCGCTGTCCCTCAGCTCTTCAGCTCAAGGCTAGCGCTCTACCACTTGAGCCATAGGGCCACTTCCGGCTTTTTTTCTTTTTGCTTATGTTGTGCTGGGGAATTGAACCCAGGGCCTCAGGCATGCAAGGCAAGCGCTCTACCACTGAGCCACCTTCCCAGCCCCTCCAACAGATTTTTTTTATACTAAATCAAGAGATAATTTCTTTGCGGTTGACAGGCAACACACACATTTGTGCCAAAACTTGAGCAGGCTAGTAAATCTAATCACCTCTTTCTCAAGCATTGCCTATTTAGAAAAGGGGAAAATGCCCAGAGAACTAGGTGACAGACTAAATCCTAATTGTGTCTACCAAATAATTGGCAGCACCCTTCCCTGCTGCTCAACTGCAAGAGAGTAGCGCTAGGCCAGGTGTGGTTCTTCCCTGCCTCCTTCTTTGTAATCAGGAGCATCTATTTCTCCAATTGAAAACTACCATCCCCACCCCCAGGAATGTTTAGAAAACAGTTGTTTTAATCCCTTCAATTTATAGCTAAAACAACTGAGGACAATTTGGGAGATGGTAAGCAGGAACCCATGTGGATTTCTGGCCATTTCAGAAAGTCTCTTCTGTGATAACTTTCCTCCATTTATTGTCCACAGAGTGATTCTGTTAATCACTGTTTGCTTCTCCATACACCATGCAGTTCCCCATGTATTCACAGTTATTACAGGTCATCCCCAACAGTCCACGTGAACTGGAAAAAATATCGCAAGTGTGCTGTGGTCTAGCTCTGTTCTAAAGGTGTGGCAGACATAATACATTTACTCTCAAAACAATCCTATGCATGAGGCCCTGGGTTCAATCCTATAAGGTAGATACTTCCATGATAAAGATAAGGAAACTGAGGAGTGGAAAAATTATGCTCATGTTTACAATGGCTGTTCATGGCAGCTTACACATGCAGTTCCAACTTTCAGGAGGCTGAGGCAGGAAGATCAAGAGTTTGAGAATAGCCTGAGCTATATAGTCCCCTAATGCCCCCCCCACCAAAAAAAGAAACCTAAACAGAAACAAGGGAAAAATAAGGGAATGCCCCAAATTCTACCTTGATTAGTTTACTGATAACCCATTTCATTTGGGGTAAGTCACAAGCCAGTCACATAGGTCACACATAATTCACGAAGTTCTGTAGCCTTTCAGATTCCCATAGAGAGCGCCTTGGGCTGCTCAGAAGACTGAATCTCTTCCACAGGTCAGCTGCACCTAACATTGCTTCTAATAGCAGTTCCTTATTCCAATTCATCATTCTACTTTGTTAGTTGTGGTCCGTTATGTGTTGGAAAATCATACCATTCACCAATAACATTTTGAATTAAAACTAAAAACTCATTAACACATGCAATGGATACCTATTACCCTATCTAGTCCCATCTTTAAAAGGTAAAACTTGCATCTGATCATATAGCATTTATCGAAATGAACTCCAGGAAATGGAAATGAGGTTTTTTTCATGGTGGTTGTTTGTTTTCTGTTTGTCTTTGTTTGTTCATTGGTCTTTGAGAGGGTTAGAGGGAGCACAGAAATGGAGGGACAAAGGTGAACAAATGCAGCAGTGGTACTCACTACACACTATGTTGAAAATGAATGATGTAACTTGTGGGTGGGGTTAGGAGGGAAAAACTGGGAGAGAGCCAGGGAAGGAGTGTCATTGTCCAAAAAGAAATGTACTCTTTACCTGACTTATGGAACTGTAACCCCTCTGTACATCATCTTTATAATAACAATAAAGCAATTTTTTTTGTCTGTTGTGGGGCTTGAACTCTGGGCTTGGGCACTGTCCCTGTGCTCTTCAGCTCAAGGCGAGCGCTCTACCACTTGAGCCACAGCACCACTTCCCAATAAAGCAATTTTTAAAAAAGGTAACTTAGCAATCACAGAGACCCCATGGGGTTCTAAGGCAGCTACCATCAGGAAAGGGCATGGACTTGAGCACAAAGCCTTGGCAGCAACTATGCCAACTCATCAAAAGCTTTCTCACTCTTCTAGCTGTTTGAGTACTGGGTGGTTACCAGGTGAGGGTCTAGAGGTATGTACTGGTGGTATGGTTTCATTCACATGCACACAGATAGAATGGTCTGGCCCTGCCTTTGCTAAAAAACATGCCCAGAAGTCACATGAAGTTTTGCTGCAGGAATGTTTTTTAAAAAAATTGGCCCAGAGAGTCTTTAGTCCCAAGGGCATTTACAGGTGACCCTGGTTTCCTGTCACCAGCTGCTCAAGAGGCAACCAAATCTAAATAGGTGCACTAGCACTTACCTTCACTTAAGGGGTCCAGTCTCAGTGCCTGGCAGGGATAAAGTGGCAACGACCCCAGCCTGGCAGTAGCTGACCTGGGTCCTCTTTCACCTCAAAGCAAACATTTCTAACAGTATACTAGGAATGTGACCTCATTACTGTAGCAAGAGCAACAAGAACCCTGATCCGTAAAGCAGAAAATTTCTCCCAGTCCCTCTTTTGATAAGTCTTAATCTCATTTTCCTCAAATGTAAAATAGAATCATGTCACCTATCCTGCCTTTATCCTGAAGCAGCTGGATTAAATGAAGTTGGCTGTTGGAAGCATGATGAAATATTACCTTTCCTAACAAGCCAGGACAAAGCTGCTCTCTGCTATCCTATGCAGGTATGGCATAAGTCACTAGAAAGTTGCATCCACCCTGACTGCTAAGCTGTGACACTGGGTCACCATTCACTTCAGAAGCAGGAGCTGACAGAGCTTGAATGTAAAACCACAATCCAGAAACAAGTCCTTTGGGGGGCTTTATATGAGATATTTCTACCTCAGCCCCTACCTTCCATTATTTTGTCCAGTCCCTCTTTTGGAGTTAGTAGAACATTATTAAGGCTCCCTGGCAGTTACCAGCAGCAGGAGTTGACCAGCATACTCCCTCCATAGGCCACAGAATCCTGCAAAAAAGAATCCTTAGATCCCGCATTTGTCTCTCTCCCTGCAAGAGCTGAATTAAATGAAGGTAATAAGCCAAAGTTGCTCTCAATTTTAGATTTTTTTTCAGTACCAACCTAAAAGTTCTCAAACTTTCAAAGTCCCCAAATATTAAGCTACCAGATAGGAAACAAAAGTTGTGATACTCTCAAAGTCTGAAAAGGGTAGGCCATCCTAACCTACCCTTTTGGCAAGAACTTTTGGGACTCATTAGTTTTTGGTTTCTTCAGTTCCCCCCCCTCCTCCCCATAAAGGTGTCCTGGATTTTTCTTGCTGTTTTAGATGAACAATTTCTTTAAAAGTGGCAAATAGCTGTCATATTCTCCAGATGGAGGAATGGCAAGAGAAGAAAGGCAACTCACTCTGTCAAGTTTGGTGCTTTGCACAAGCTCAGCAATGAGGAGCTTTGCCTCAGTGACTTAAGACAATGCCTATCTCCAAGCTCAGAATCTAGAATTAGCAGAAAGCTGGAGTGGGAACCAGCTGGCCTCCTGTCATTTCAAATGAGCCTGGATGGATCAGAAAACTCCTGCAGGCTGCAGTTTCCCCATCTAAGAACACTGGATGAATGAAGAAACTAAGAGAGTAGCGACTTTGGAAACTACATGATACCATAAGAAGGGATAAAATGCAGCTTCTAAGAGTCACAAAAAGCAAGCAAAGCTAAGATGTGTCTCTGCCTACTTTCCCACAAGAACAGCCCTTTGACACTCAGTTATCCTGTTCCAAGCTCTCAGGAGAGGCGTGTTTCTGGGAAATAGGCCTCACACAATTAACTCCAGGTTTATTATCCTTGGATCCATGGGCAACTTTTAAAACACTACCAGCTTCCTTCGAGCCCCTGGGCTAAATTAGAGAAAGCCACAGATTGCAAGCCCATGGCCCAGTAAAATGTAATAAATAGTGAGGAGGAAATGGTGTGTGTGTGTGTGCATGCGTGTGAAGATGTTGGGTTGGTTGGTGCCAACTTTTTTTTTTTAAACTGGTGAGGGCAACGGGATAGGGAATGTAAGGAGTAAAGTAGGGATGGGATGTTAGACTTCCCTAACATCCACACCCCTAACAGCTAAGACTGCCTCTAGCTAAAAGATGTGGCCCTGCTCTTTGACATTGTGCGCCTAAGCTCTAGGCAAACTCGTGGTCAGCATGCAACCATGCAGGCATTGTTTTGATACTGAAAGGGGAAAAAAAAATGTCAAAAGCCACCTGCAGCCTATTAAGGGTAACTTCAGGATACCTGCGTGCCTGAGTACCAATGGAAGGGCGTTAGAAAGCTGGTGTCTCCCACTACACCTTTGGCAAGGTGAAGAGCATTACCTGACCAGGTCAAGGAATGAGTCCACCGTCTCTTTGGGGACCGCTGGAGGCCCCGATTCCTCCAGTCCCAAGTCGCTGGACTGAAGAACCTGCGCGCCCGACCCTGGCTTGATGATGAACGCCAAAGCGACGGCGAGCGCCGAGGCACTCAGCGTGGTGAGCCCAAAGTAGGCGACGGCGATGCCGCCCAGACGCCCGAGGGAGCTGGCGTCCAGAGAGGCGGCGCCCGACACCAGGCTGCAGACCACCAGCGGCAGGATGATCATGCGCAGCATGCGGAGCAGCATCTCCCCCGGGAAGGCCAGGTAGGTGATCTGCGTGCGACTGAGCTTGAGCTCGCGGAGGGCGGCGCCCATGCCCGCGCCCACGAGCACCCCAGACACGGTGAGCAGCACCAGCGCGTTGCGCCGCAGGAAGCCGGCGAAGCGCTGCGCGAGTCCCGCAGTGGTCCCGGGGGCGCCGGGCCCCGGCTGCGCGCCGTCCAGATAGCCGTTGGTCTCTCTGCTCTTCTCCATGGCGTTGTCCGCTGCTCCAAGCTGGAGGAGTCAGAGGACTTGGGGTCTGAGGAAAGACAGACTGCCAATGAATGGACGTCGGAGCTAACGGTGTCTGCGAGCCTCGTCTCGCAGGTTCGGGTAGAAAGCACCTCCCCCCTCCACACACACCCCGAGGGTCTTCAGGCCGGCGCAGGAGCAGGATCGAGACAGGGCAAGGAGGGGTGTTGGAACGTGGGTCGGAGCCCCGAGCAGAGTGGATCGTGCCGCTCCTAGCTTCCTCCGAGGAGCCCCGAGCTGGAGATGATGCAACTCGGGAGGCGCGCGGTCGGACGCAGACTGGGCAGGAGCGAGCCAGCCAGGGCAGCCCGAGCCCGCCCCTCCGCCCCTGTAGCCCCGCCCCCAAGGGCTCTGACCAATCAGAACAGGGGAATCCCGCCGCCGCCAGCCCCGCCCCCGGTGTCCAGCTGGGCGGGAGGGCCCGTCTGGGGCCGCGGGGCGTGCTGCCCCCCTTCCCACACACACACCAGGCCCAAGCCTGCTAAAGGAAGCCGGCGGCTGTCTGACCGGAGACTGGGTTTTCGTGGTACCCACGGGGACCTGTGGGGCCAGTTGGGGTCCGGGAAGAGGTGGAACGCCGAGACATTGTTTACCCAGGGGGGGTTGAGGAAGGAGAGGAAGACCCTCCAGGCTGGGTGTCCTCGCCCCCACCCCTCGTGGCCGGTCGGTCGCGGGATGCGGGGGGGGGGGGGTGCTCAGGGCTGCCCGCCCGCCCCGTCTCCCTGCGGAAGATCCGGGTCTCCCGGGCGCCGGTGGCTTTCGGGCGGTAAAGGACGTCATGATGCCCGGCGCAGGCCGCTGGTGGAGACAAAAGCAGGATGGTGGTTGGGGGCGGGGGACGAGCCAGGCTTTATCACGTGCTCATAAAGGGCCGAGGTTCCAGCGTAAGGGACGGGAGCTCGCGGCGGCCCGATCCGCGCCTGGCCGGGCGCGGGCCCGCGGCCTGCGGGGCCGGGACACAAAGCCCTGCTAGACGACACAGAGCCGTCACGCCACCAGCCGCCTTTGCGTTTCTGCCACGTAACCTCAGCGAAACGGCCGCTCGGTTGTTAACCTCTTCAGCCCCGGGGCTCCCCGCGGACGCCTCCCAGGTGGCTCCTTCTGGTCCACGTTCCGCTCCCTGTGTTCCCTGTGCTTCCAGGTCGGAGGCAAACCTCTGCTGGGTCGTTTCACTCGGCCGTGCTTACTTAGGGTTTACATGTTCCCATCGTGCTTTTGAAAAGAAAAAAAAAGAAGTTGTCAGATGTCTGCGAAAGGGAAGGGGAATCTTCGGGGTAGCTAACCTAGATTAGGCAGGCAATGTGTTATTACATTGCAGAAAAGGAGCCATCCCAGCACATGGCATTAGCAGACACTTGGGCAAATCAACATGCCTTCATGAGCACTTGTAAGGAGCTGTCCAGATTTTGAGACCGTGAATTATTTGAAGCCGGTCGGCTATTGGCTAGAGCTTGTAGGGATCCTTTGGAGGGGACGGGGGTTGGAGGGGATTGAGGGGGCGAGATTAGGTGAAGAGCCGTACCTGTTTCCATCTGGTTTTCCAGGACAAGGTTCACCTCTTTATGTAATTCCTGTAGACACATGTTCTCTTTTGCCCATCAGTTCCTCCCTTGGAACAACTACTTGTATACAAAAGACTCTCCAGTCCTGTTCAAGAAACTGACTTTCCAGCTGCCTGCTTTATCCTGCAGTCATCTCAACTCAGCAAACTCAAGTCATCTCAACTCAGCAAATTTAAAACAAGATTGATGGTTGCCTTCCTCAGGCTTACTCATTCATCTGACTCCCCTGTCGCTATTACTGATATTGGTCATTGATGTCCAAGTTACCACTGTGTGAAATTTCAAAGTGACCTTTGAGTCCTCCCTTTGGTGTCTGCTGTCATCTGATCCGTTGCCAAGTCTCATAGATTCTCCTTTCACAATATCTCCTCTCTCCCCATTGCTACTGCACTCTGCCAGTTCTTATTTCCTCATTTCTTATGTGGGCTATTGAAATGTTGTCTAATCAGTTTTCCTACTTTTCTTTTTTTGGGGGGTGGGGGGTAATTGGGATTTGCTTTAGACCTACTTGCTGCCCATAGTGTTTTGTTCTGGCATAGACCAACCAGTACCTCAAAACAGAGTGGCATGCAATGCCAATCTTTTTTTTTGGGTCCAGTTGTGGGGCCTGAACTCTGGGCCTGGGCGCTGTCCCTCAGCTCTTCAGCTCAAGGCTAGCACTCTACCACTTGAGCCACAGCACAACTTCTGGCTTTTTTCTTATATGGTGCTGGGGAATGGAACCCAGGGCCTCGAGCATGCAAGGCAAGTGTTCTACCACTGAGCCACCTTCCCAACCCGCCAATCATTTTCTTATGTTAATGGTTTAGACAGCATAACAAGGGATCTCAACTCTGCTCTGTGGTGGTGTCTCAGTAGCTAGAGATGTCTGGAAACAGCTCAAATGGGGTGGTGTGCCTGTGTACTCCATTCTGGCTTTTCTATAGGATCCTTGGTTCAATCCAACTTTACATCTTCTGAGGCTGAATACTCAAGATTGCACCTGGGTTAGAGTGGTTGGAAGAGCTTCCACTAGTTGGACATTTCACTCTAACTTAATGTGGTTAGCTGTCACTATGGTTAGAATGAGTGTTTTAGGCTTGGGCACCTATAATCCCATAATCCTATAATCATGGTTCAGAGCTAGCCTGGTAGAAAAATCCACCAGACTCTTCTCTCCAATTAGCTAGCAAAAATTTGGACCAGAGGCATGGCTCAAGTGGTAGAGTGACAATTATGAACAGAAAAGCTGAGCTAAGTGTGTGAGACCCTGAGTTCAAGTCCCAGTACCAGAAATCTAGGTAGATATATCCAGTAGAATACAATTTAAATTTAGCTTTTGATAAGAAAGACATATGGTCATTTACAAGCTGGATGAACCTAGAAGTTATTATGTTAAGTGAAATAAACCAGGCACAGAAAGACAAATACTGGGTGATTTTGCTAACATGGAATCTAAAAGAAGCTTAATTCAGTCAAACAAGGTCAAATGGTGGTTCCCAGGAACACTGATCTGGGAGATGAAATGACACAAAATTTTTGTCAGACTGGAGGAATGACTTCAAGAGACCTATTGTATATGTAATGCAACTATATTTAATAACAACATATGCAACTATAATTAATAACAACATATGTGCTTGAAATTGCTGGGAGAGTACATTTTAAGTGTTCTTAAGCTAAGTAATACATACATTGAATAGATTTAACCATTCCACAATATGCACATACACAAGACATCCTATTGTACATCATAAATATATGTTTCACTTGTCAATTAAAAATTCAAAAACTGGTTCCTTTGGGAACATTTAAATTTTTATTATTATGAGATGATTAAAAGTGATTAACAGAGGGGTTGCAGTTACATAAGTCAAGTAATGAGTACATTTCTTTTTGGACAGTGTCACCCTTCCCTGGCTCTCTCCCAGTTTTTCCCTCTCATTCCCACCCACAAATTCATTTTTTTTAAATTTTTTATTGTAAAGATACTATACAGAGGGTTACAGTTACATGAGCAAGGTAATGAGTACACTTCCTATTGAGCATTGTTACCCCCTCCATTGTTTTCCCCCTACCATCCCTTCCCTCCCTACCTTCCCCAAGGTTCTTTTTTTTTTTCACAAATTCATTTTTAACATAGTGTCCAGTGAGTACCAATGCTGAATTTTGGGAACATTAATTTTTTATTATTATAAAGGTGATATACAAAGGGGTTATAGTTACATAAATCAGGTAAAGTTTCTTTTGGTACAGTGTTACCCCTTCCCTGGCTCTTCCAGTTTGGGAACATTTTTTTTTTCTTTTGAGACAGTCTTGATATGTAACCTAGGCCTGCCTGAATTCAATCATCCTGTTTCTGCCTCCAGAGTTCTGCAATTTATCACTGTGCCCAACTCCATTAATTATGTTCTTAAAGCTATGAATTTATGACTCATCATGAGGAAGAACTGATTTCCCTCATTAAAGCAATGACTATAGATTTCCTACTCAGAATGTGATAAAAGGGTTGTTACCTTATCAAAGGGACTGTTTGTCACTCAAAGTCCTTCCTTCTCTTCCTTCCTTCTTTCCTTCCTTCCTTCCTTCCTCCCTCCCTCCCTCCCACCCTCCCTCTCTCCTTCCTTTCTTCTTTCCTTCCTTCCTTCTTCCCTCCCTCCCTCTCTCCCTCTCTCTTTCTCCCTCCCTCCCTCTCTCTCTCTCTCTCTCTCTGTTTTTTTCCTGGGTTTGAACCCAGCGCCTCACATATGCTATAGGCAAACACTGTAGTACTGAGCGATACCCTCAGCCTTAATATATTTGTACATCTAAGAATAGTTTGCTTGATATCCATGCACTGGCCTCTGCTGGTGGGAATTGATTAGTTCCACCTTATTAGCTGATGATTGTTCCATATTTTCTACCTTATTTCACTGGAATCCCTAAAAATATCATTGGAATAGCCTATCAAAAGGATTATTTTTCTACCATGTATGGATAAGAAGAAAAGAAAATGCAGCCTTCATTAGAGGCAAATTTAGAACAATTCTTCACTGAGAGACAGACATCAGATGCTTTAACAATAACATTAGGAAAGTAAATGTCAGTTTAGTTTGTTCCATGTTTTAAAAATAGCCATATAGGAAGTACAATATGATAAAAATTTATTTTCCTAAGTATATTTGACATACAAAGCCAACAAAGTAAAAGTCAAAAATAATAATTGTTTTTAATTTCACAGTGTACAACTTAGTATAAGAATGTACTACAGGCTGCAATGCTTGGTAAGAAATGTATGCATTTTCCTGCCCATGTAATTGTAACCCCTCTGTACAGTATGTTTTCAAATAAAATAAAATAAAATAAAAAAAAAAAAGAATGTACTACACAGATTTCTGTGTAATCTAGAGCTCTTTTTTGTTGTTACTGTTTTGTTAGCCTTGGGGCTTGAACTCCGGTCCTGGCCACTCTCTCTGAGTTCTTTTGCTCAAAGCTAGCACATCTACCACATTGAGCCACAGTTCTACTTCCAATTTTCTGGTAATTAATTGGAGATAAGAGTCTTACAGACTTTCCTGCCCAGTCTGACTTTGAACCACATGATCATCCGATCTCAGCCTCCTGAGTAGCTAGGATTATTGGCAGGCTTGAACTTGTGCCTAGCTTAGAGCTCTATTTTTAGGATCCTCTCAGTATTATCTCTACCCACCAAACAGAATAGTAATGTGGGGATAGGAATGG